GTTTTTTTGGAGAGTCCATGCCCCCTAAAGAAAAAAAAAAAAAAAAAAAAAAAAGTTTGCTGAACCAAACAGTATATTTAATAACATAACAGATTTACATACTGGTACAAGATCCTAATTCAGTTAACAGTATTAACTATATTCTAAGAATTTTTCACATTAGAGTAAGATTTTAAATCTTTATTGAACTATAGAGCTTATTTCAATTGAAGACATTAGGAGAATATGTATATACAAAAAAAAAAAAAAAAAAAAAAAAAAGGAAAGCACTTTGAAATGAGAGTTGTTGGTAAAAGAAGGTGTTCTAAACCGGATCCCTAAATAAGTTCAGAGAATCTGTTACTCCCTTTGAAATTTAGGCAAAATTATTGGGCAGTTGGAAGAGTCATACACATTTTTTTGCATAAGAAAAATATATGTCATGAATTTTCTGACAACCTAATATATGCACACATATGATTTTTCTAGAGTGTGTAGCTCCTGCACAATATTTTTAAAATCTACTTTTAAAACAATTATTTATTTACTTTTATTTATTACTATTATTATTTAATTTGCTACATTATTTTTTAAATTTTATTTATTTATTTTATTTTTTGGAGAGGTTTTTGCTATAGGGCGCGTGTGCTCTCCAGACAGACAGGGAGAGACATAGAGACAGAAAGCGAGAAATCACCCCCCAGGGGGGATGGCCACGCCGCAATCCCTTCTCCGTTCTCCTCTCGGGATCTTGGGCACGCACACACATGCGACTGGCGTGAGTTTTAAGCCACCGGGTCCAGGACGCGAACCATGGTCAACTACATGGGAATCCAGCGACATAGCCATTACGCTAACTGCTGGTCCCTACATTATTTAATTTACATGCACTCACCAGAGAGAGACAGAGAGAGGGAAAGTGAGAAAGCAAGCCACCAGATCTGGGACTTGAACTATGGTTGGCCACGTGGTAGTCCAGAGCCTTAACTACACCACCTGCTGGTCTCCCTCACATTCTTAAAGAGGCCTCTGTCCTGAAAGAAGTTAAAAAGCACTGATTTAAACAGTTTGATTCATCAAGAAGAGATAGATGAAGCCATCAGTGGTAGAATGGAGTGGGTTTTGATGAAAGCAACAAATCAGACACGCTGGTCAGCTCTCTGCTCCCTGACCATTTCCACCCTTCCCCTGCTCTGCTCTGCATTTCAGAACCCTGCATTTCCTGAGCTCCCTTGCCATCTGACTGCCAGATAGGTAAGGCCAACGAGAGACACTGTGGGAGAATAAAAGTAGGAAGAGGGGAGAAGCCAAGATATTTTCTTCTTCTTTTGTCTTCTGGGGCATCTCTTCCAGGTTCTAGTCTTACCTTCTATGTTCCCAGCTCCCAACAGGCAGCCTGCTTGTGGGTTTAGCTCCCATAAATGGCTCCAGCTTCTGTTTTTTTGTTTTGTTTTGTTTGAGAGATTTTTGCTATAGGGCATAGGCACTCACCAGAAAGACAAGAGGAGACAGAGAGACAGAAAGCGAGAAATCACCCCCCATCCCCGGGGGGATGACCACGCCGCCATCCCTTCTCCTCCATTCTCTTCTTGGAATCTTGGGCACGCACAGGTGCCAGGTGTGAGTTTAAGTCACCGGATCCAGGACTCGAACCACGGTCGACTATATGGGAGTCCAGCGACATAGCCATTACGCTAACTGCTAATCCCTGGCTTCTAGATTCTAATAACACTACTTTTCTGCACTGATATAGCCTTCGGGGTGCTTATGGCTTCCTTTTCTATCAGCAAAATGTCCCATCAAGAAAATTTTGGGGTTTTCTCACCATCACATATTTGGTTTTACCATTCTGCTATCGTGCTGAGTAATTGTCTATGTTAAATGGCCTCCATCTGAAAGACTAAAGTTGTTTGTTTTCCTAACTGAACCTTGACAGATATACCTTAGTAGGAGCCACCAAAACACCATACCTGAATAAGGTGGTAGAGCGTGATATCAGGTGGCGAGACGTTAGGAGCAGTGCACTGTGGGAAGAGCGCAGTTTTCAGTTTGGGGTAAGGAGTTAACGCCATCTTCAGTAGCTGGGGATCCACTTTCTTCAAACAATTCTCATTTTCTTCATTCTGTACAACCTAAGATAAAAGGCAGAGGACAGGATACAGGATAAACTTTTTCCTTTTCAAAAAGTATGTCCTTTTCTCACAAGAATCTTGTGAAACAAAATTAGATCAAAAGAGTATATGGTAGTAAAAACAGCACTGGATAAGTAGTCATAAATAGTTCTGGTTCTGGTTCTTAGACAAGCTGCTGTGTGACCTCAGGCTAGATATTTAACATCAGGCCTCATTTTCCCATCTACAAAATTAGGAAGTTAGCAAAGATTAGTATTCAAATTCTATGTGGAGAAGTTGTTTGAAAAAAGTCTGTGTTCCTACAATATTTAAACTGTTTACATATCAAATATTTAATCTGATATTAAATAGCACATTTTAAAAAGATTTATATACTAAACAGGAAGGCTCCTGGGTCTTTTCCCTGGGCTCTATAATTATTGTGTGATTCTAAAACATGACAGAAGTGAAAAATCACCTACCGGGGAATGCCATGCCACAATCCCTTCTCTATTTTCCTCCTGGGATTTTGGGCGCACGCACATGCCGGCATGATGTTCAAGCCCCCAGGTCCAGGACTCAAAGTGCAGTTGGCCATGTGGGAGTCCTGCACCTTAACCAACATGCCTACCTGCTGGTCCCATCTTATAGCCTCTTTCTAAGAGGGCAAATAGTAGTGAAAAATAATTCCCAAGCCATGGATCTAAAGGATACTTATTCCCAGAAGCAATCAGACTCTGATTCTATCCTGAAAACAAACCTAGATTATTAAAAAGCAAACTAAGGAGAGCCAGTGGATGGCATGGTAATTAAAGCATTGGATTCCCACATGACCAACTGTAGTTCGAGTACCAGACCTAGAAGCTTGAAAATCACATCAAGGGGACCAGAATTTGGTGTAGTGGCTATGTCGCTGGACTCCCATGTATTCAACTATGGTTTGAGTCCTGGACCCGGTGGCTTAAACTCATGCAGGTCACGTGTGCGTGCAAGCCCACGATCCTGAGAGGAGAATGGAGGAGAAGGATTGCGGCATGACAATCCCCCCTAGGGGGTGATTTCTCACTTTCTGACTCATTCTCTCTTTCTGGCGAGTGCACATGCCCTATAGCAAAACCTCTCCAAAAAAAAAGAAAGAAAGAAAATCACATTGGGGCCAGTCAGTGGTGTGGTGGTCAAGGTGCTGAACACTCCCCGACATCCCTCTCTCTGGTAAAATCCAAATGAATGAATAAATACAATTAAATAAATAATCATTTAAAAAAAAAAGAAAATCACATCAAGCATATGTGTGTGCATGCCCAAGATCCCAGGAAGAGATTGGTGGAGAAGGGATTGTGGCATGGCCATCCCCCTGGAGAGGGGTGACTTTTCACTTTCCTTCTCACTGTTTCTCTGGGAATCTCTCTGGTGAGCACATGTGCCCTGTGGGAAAAACCTCAAAGAAAGAAAGAAAATTAAGAGAGAAAAGAATCTCTGTACAGCATATTAATTCCCTTTCAACTTAAGGAGCAGGGAGGAAGGAAGGAAGGAAGGAAGGAAGGAAGGAAGGAAGGAAGGAAGGAAGAAAAGGAAAGAAGAAGAAAGAAAAGTTATATTTAATATCAACTATAATCTAGATGCTCCATAGATATTTCTGCTAAATTTAAAATCCATTCCATTTGCCATAGCAGGTAAGAGTGCTGTCCATACCTGGCTAACACCCCCAGGAGCGTACATGGTGGCAGCGAGGGCCAGTAGTGTGTGTCCTTCCAGTAGCATACTGCTTATGCTGGCCTGATTGGTGGGGATCAAAATCTGAGCATTTGCGAGGCTAGCCTGAAAGATCAGTTTGGAATCTGGAAAATAAAAGAGTGTGTTTTTCTCCTTAAGGGATAAATACAAAATTAAGAATGACATAATTAGCAGGAAAAAAAAAAGACTTATTTTAACTCTACCCACATTAAGAAGAACTTTGTATGTTTAAAAGCAATGAGGAAACATCACAAAGAGAAAAATTAAAGATCTGTCTATAAAAATTAAAACTTCTATTGAAACAAACAAAAAACCCTGGAAGGTAACAATGAATTAGAGAGAAAAATGACAGCAAATTATAACCTAAGGATTAATGTCCTTGACAAAGAGCTCATATTCATTAATGCCAGAATTACTGACTCTTAACAGTAAATTGACAAAATAAAAAGCCAATTTAGAAAGGAGAAAATAGAAAAAGCTAATTTAGAAAGAAGAAAATATAAGTGCCTGACCACAAAAAGATATAACTCACTAGCAATAAAGGTGTGTAAGTTAAATAATCAGGTGCTGTATGTCACCTAGCAAATCAGTAATGATTTTAAAAAACCATCATCATCAGGACCCACAGGTGGTATAGCCGTCAAGGTGCTGGACTCCCACATGGCCAACTGCAATTCAAGTTCCAGACCTGGTAGCTTGAGAAACATGCTGGGCACATGCACAAGCGTGCCCAACGTCCTAGGAGAAGGGATTGTAGCATGGCTGTCTCCTTTACCCCCTGTTGGTGAGTTCTCACTTTCTCTCTCACTGTCGCTCTGTCTCTTGCTGAAGAGTGTATGCACCCCTGGTAAAAACATAAAAAAGGAACTAGCAGGTGGCATAGGGATTAAGGTGTTGGACTCCCACATGACTGACCACAGTTTGAGTCCTGGATCCGGCGGCTTGAAACTCACGATAGGCACATGTGAGTGAGAATGGAGGAGAAGGAATTTTGGTGTGGCTGTCCCTTCAAGGGACTAATTTCTCACTTTCCTTCTTTTTTTTTTTTAATTTCAATTTATTTATTTGCATTCATTCACTGTACATCATTACAGCATACAAAATGAGATTTTTCCATCCAGAGTACACTGTATATTGTCTCAGTCAAGCACATCAGCAAACATGTTATTGTCAGCAAATAATTTTCCATTTCTTGTTTTCTGTATGTTTTGCTTTTTCCCCCCATCCTTGATTCCCTATCTCTTACCCTCTGCCATCTCCAACTCTCCTCCCACTCACTTTCCTTCTCTCTCTCTCTCTCTCTCTGAGTGCATGCATCCTATGGCAAAAAACAAAACAAAACAAAAACAAAACAAAACAAAAAACCCTAAAAACTAAAAACTAAAAAAGTTAAAAACAAATCCAGCCTCATCAAACATTAGAGCTGGTAAGGAAGCATAGAGATTGGGAATTAAGGATAAATAGGTACCAACCCAGGCCAGCAGGTGGCATAGTGGTTAAGGCACTGGATCACACATGGCCGACTCCATGGTTCAAGTCCTGGGCTTGGCGCCTTCAGAAATATGCTAGTTCTTGTGTGTGTGCCCAAAGTCCCAAGAGGAAACTAGAAGAGAAGGAATTGTCATCCCCCTGGGGAGCGATTTCTTACTTCCCCTCTCTCTCCAGCAGTGCACAAGCCCTATGACAAAAATCTAAATGCAAACAAACAAAAAAGGTACCAACTTACTTGTAAAGCAATCTGGTTTTATTGAAAGAACTTGTAAAATGTGTATAGCCTTTGGGGGCCAGCAGATGGCGTGGTGGTTAGGGTGCTAGAGACTCCCACATGGCTGATCACAGTTTGAGTCCTGGACCTGGCGGCTTGCTTCCTCACATTCTCTCACTCTCTCTCTTTCTGTCTCTCTCTCTCTCTCAGCCTCTCTCTGATCAAATTAAAATAAATGAATGAATAAATAAAATTAATTATTTTTTTTTAAAGTATACAGCCTTTGACTCAGTATTAATCTAGCATCCTATCTATACTAAAGAAATAATTTGAAATAAGGACAAAAATTTTACATTCAAGTAAGGTCAAGACTATTAATTGTAACTGGAAAAAAACGGAAAACAGGCTACTGAAAAAAAATAATAAAATGAGAGAACAGTTAAATAAGGGCATATCCATATAATGTAATATTTTTGTCCTTATTTCTTATTTAACTTTATTTATTTAAATTTGACCAGAGAGGGACAGAGTGAGAAGGAGTGAGTGAGTGAGTGAGAGAGAGAGAGAGAGAGAGAGAGAGAAAGTGAGAAAGCAAGCCATCAGGTCTGGATTCAAACCGTGGTCAGCCATGCGGAGTCCAGTGCCCTTAATCACCACACCACCTGCCAGCCCCCACACAATGTAATATTATGAGACATTTAAATGGTCATTGTCTCTAAGAATGCAGGAAAGTTCTTGTGTTATGACCCTGCACACGAAAAAAACAGTACATAAAAACAAGTACTTCTTATTGTAACCTTACTACTTACAACAGTCTTTCATGGGTCCAACATTCAGCGAAAAGCCAGAATCCATCCATGTGCATCTGAGGTGGGCCTAGCCCTGCCCCTTTAACTGGAGAAAGGCTCTGCCCTAAACCCTTCCTTCTGGCCTAACACCCAGCGAAAAGCCAGAAAGTAGGAAGTAATGTATAATCCATCAGATGACCAGAAACCACCACTGCAGAGGCATAAGAAAGACAGGAAATCAAGAAATATCTCTACCAAAAGGGGAAAGAACAATCCTTCATCATCCACAGACAATACAATAGAACTTGTGGAAATGTCAGATAAAGAATTTAGGGTATTCATAGTGACAAAGCTAACAGAGATGCAAGAGAAGAGAGGCAACAAACTCCAAAAAATGCAGGAGAAAAGAGACAATGAGTTCCAGAAGGTGAAGAAGTTCTACCACGATCTGAAAGAGCAAATACACACCATAAAAAAGAATCAAATGGAACTGTTAGAGAAGAAGGCTGTAATACAGGAAACCAAAACCTCCCTTTAAATTAAAAGCAGATTAGATCATGCAGAAGATCGAATCTCAGATGTAAAAGATTGAATTTAGAACCTCTGACCTAGAAAAATTCACCAAAAAGATAAATACCCCCCCAAAATGAGAATAATATACAAGTAATATTAGATACTATTACACGCCCAAACAGCCAGATAATTGGTACACCAGAAGGTGAAGAAACTAATCAGGCCATTGATAATCTATTCCATGAAATCCTGGAAGAAAACTTTCCAAACCTAGAGAGATATTCAAAGATCCAGTCCCAGGAAATACAAAGGACCCCAAATAGAATCAACCCAAGAAGATCTTCTCCAAGGCACATCATAGCGAGATTGATCAAAGCCACAGACACAGATAAAAGACCAAAATTTACAAGAGAAAAACGTCAAGTTACTTTCAAAAGATATCCCATCAGGCTATCATCAGATTGTTCCTTGGAAACAATGCAAGGAAAGAATGGGAAAATATATTCAAAGTGTTAAGTGAAAAACAATTTCAACCAAAAATACTGTATCTGGCAAGATTATCCTTCATGTGGGAAGAAAAGAAAAACATTCTCAGATAAACAAAACCTGAAAGAATTTACCAACACCAGATCAGCTCTTTGGGAAGTTCTGAAAGGAATAATATACCAGGAAAACTAAAGACAGACAGAGGACCAGCAGATGGCATGGTGATTAAGGTGCTGGACATTCTCACATGGCCTACCATAGTTCGAGTCTGGATCTGGTGGCTTGCTTTTCACTTTCCCTCTTTCTCTCTCTCTCTCTGTCCCTCTCTGGTGAAATTAAAATGAAATGAAATATCAATAATCATATTGAATGTTAACAGAAAGGTCAGACCACAGTGACATTGCAAATTCAACAAAAGAGAGATTATACGAGACTGAACTGGTGAAATAGAATTCTATACTTTTTTCTAAAACATTACTGATTCTCTTCTATGCTCTGTCTTCCAGATTTAAGAATTTTTGTTTTCTTTTGAGTTGTTGGGTTCAGCAATTTGTTAAAAAAAAAAAAATTATTATTTTAATTGAAACATAAACTTTTCTCCCTTCCTGACTCCTTTGCAATTGGGGGAGGGGGGAGTGTGTCACAAGGTATGACCTCAATAGATATTTGCTGGACGGATGGAACATAGTATCAACTAGGTAAAAAGAAAGTACAGAGAAAATAGCTGGGACAAAACCCACTAAAATATTACCAGCAGTTGCCTATGGATGGTTACTTTCCTATGTACCTTGGCTATCTACCTACAGAAGTGTTACCTTCTTGATAGTTGTTTTGACTTGCAAATTTTTTTTTCAGTGAATATATATTACTTTATAATCAACACCCCAAACCAAAAACCAAAAACCACATTTTGGAGGCCGGCAGGTGGCATGGTAGTTGAGGCACTGGACTCCCACATGGCTGACCATGGCTTGAGTCCCAGACCTGGTAGCTTGCTTTCTGACATTCTCAATCTCTCTCTCTTTCTCTATGTCTCTCTCTGTTAAAACTGAAAAAAAAGTGATAGTAATAGATACAATTAAACAATTCTTAAAAAAAAAAACCCACATTATGAAAAAATCTTCACTTAGAGAGAAACGGGGCATTCAAAAAAGATTAGCTGTTGACATTCCTTGCCTGTGTAGTTGCTTGGCCTGTCCCCTTCCTCCAATCTACAGGGTAACCCCAGCTCAGTCCTCATGGGTAATAGGGCTTTTCTGTCAGATCACATCCAGAGTGGCTGTGTGTCATCAGCTCCACTATGGAGGACACATAATCCCACACCTAACTTGGGGTTCCTTTTCATTCCACTTGGAGCTCCTTATTTAAAGATTTAGAGCAGGCACCTGGAAGATAGACCACTTCTTCAAGAAAAAGGGGTGTCGATCTACTAGAGAGCAGAAATTCACACTGTGATAAAGAGGTGGGACAAGAGAAAGTTAGAATAGAGGCCGAGGCAGAGGTGAGGTAGAAGACAAAGCACAAGCTCTCTGCTCTAAGTCTGGCTCTTCAAGGAGGGCAAGAGGCTAGCATTTTTGGTCTTCTGCTTCTCCTTCTGCTGCTGCTGCTTCTTTTTTTTTTTTTTTTTTAAGATTTTTGCTATAGGGTGCATGCGCTCACCAAAGAGACAGGAAGTGAGATATCACCCCTAGGGGGGATGGCCATGCTGCAATCCCTTCTCCTTCATTCTCTTGAGATCCTGGGCACACGAGCACATGTGCCTGGCCTGTGTTTGAAACCACCAGGTCCAGGACTCGAACTGTGGTTGACTATGTGGGAGTCCAACAAAATAACCATTATGCCATCTGCTGGTCTTGGTCTTCTGCTTCTTAAGTAAACGGGGAGCCTGGATTACAGTCAGATATTATAGTAAAATGATTTATTTAAAGATTCACAAGGTAGGGACCAGCAATTGGCATAATGGCTTTGTCGCTAGATTCCCATGTAGTCAACCGCAGTTTAAGTCCTGGACCCGGTGGCTTCAACTCACACCGGGTGTGTGTGCGTATGTGCCCAAGATCCCAAGAGGAGAATGGAGAAGGGATTGCGGCGTGGCCATTCCTCCTGAAGGGTGATTTCTCGCTTTCTGTCTCTCTGTCTCTCTCTGTCTTTCTGACAAGTGCACATGCCCTGTAGCAAAAACCTCTCCAAAAAAAAAAAGAAATTCACAAGATAAAGACCATTCGAAAGACCACTTATTTACCCAAAGGAAGTTTTTGTGTTTAAGACAGCATATCCATACCTGTTAAATTACTGGAAACTTGTCGACATCGAACTAAAAATTCAAACCAAGGATATGATTCATGTAATTCTTTCTTTTCCAGAAAAGAACAATTTTCAGGACTAAGTCTGTATATAAAACATATAAACACACACAAAAGAAAACAAATCTCTGATTAGGATAAGATAATTACAACCACGTTTGCTCAGTTGCTAACTGCATTTTAAGAAAGAATCTTGAGGGACCAGCAGGTGGTGTGATGGTTAAGGGTGCTGGACTTCCACATGACTGACCATAGTTTGAGTCCCAGACCTGGCAGCTTGCTTTCTCACTTTCTTTCTCTCTCTCTCTCTCTCTCTGTTCCTCTCTGGCTAAATTAAAATAAATAAATAGATAAATGACTGAATAAAATAATTTTTTTTTTTGAGAGATTTTCACTGTAGGGCGCGTGCGCTCGCCAGACAGACAGAGAGAGACATAGAGACAGAAAGTGAGAAATCACCCCCCAGGGGGGATGGTCACGCCGCAATCCCTTCTCCTCCATTCTCCTCTCGGGATCTTAGGCACGCACGCACACGCACCCGGCGTGAGATTTAAGCCACCGTGTCCGGGACACGAACCGCGGTCGACTACGTGGGAGTCCAGCGACATAGCCATTACGCTAACTGCTGGTTCCCAATAAAATAATTTTTTAAAAAAGAAAATCCATTTTTTTTTTTGCTTGCATATCGTTTATTGCAGCATTATTCACAATTGCTAAGACATGGAACCAACCCAAATGTCCACAAACAGGTGAATGGATTGAAAAAGTTTGCCACATATACTCTATGGAATACAAAAAAGAAAGAATCTTGACATTTAAAAGTATACATAAAACATTCCCACTCTGTTATCATTTGCATATTCCTCATGATCTGGAAAAAGAAAGATTTTAGAAATATATCACATGTTTACTACCATGATGAAATCCAACTGGCTCTGTATGGTCTGTATAAGATGCAGAATAGGTACTCTGAAAATAAGTTTCTTTAATTTGTTCGCTTGCCTGTAGCTTTTGAGAAAACATTTCTGTGTCTAAGAAATGATAACCAGAAATACACTCTGTTTGAACCCTAGTCTTTACTACACAAGATAAAATAAAAATGTTCTTTTATCAGTGCACAAATGTGGTCTCTAGAATCAAAGGTAAATCAAATTAAAAATGGCTCTGCCACTTACTATTATAGCTGTGTGACTTCAGGAAGGTGTTTAGTCTGTCCTAATTCCTTACTTTCCTTATCTGTGAAATGGAAGTAACCACCCCACAGGGATTTTAAGGTGAAATGAGATAATGCATGAAAAGCTCTTAGCCTAGTACCAAGAACAGTATAATGAGTACTCGTCTGTTAGAGACTACTACTGCTGTTGCTGTCACTGACATGATGCATTTAACGCTGGCCATGATAAGATTCTGCAGATTAATCTTAGGGAGATGTATATTTATACCTCTTTCTTTTTATATATACGGTGCATGCACACACACACACACAATTTTAGAGCATATTTAATATACCCTGTAGTGGTTATTAAATCAAGTTGTTAAGCATTACTCATGGTAATGAAAGTATCAAAAAATGGCAAAAATGATCCTTTAGATTCTGCCTCTTTTTTAAACTTTTTAAAACATTTCTTTCATTTTATTTTAATCTCAAGCTATCTAAAAAGTTAGTAGAGAAGTTACAAAATTACAAGCACCAAAAAAACATATGAGTAATTAAGTTGAATGTAACCCTGAACTCAAAGATGTGCTCAAGTACTGGAATAGGAGAAACTACTTCAAAAAGATCAGTCTTCCTCATGTGAATGCTTAATGTTTTTCTGAAAGTCACATTCAGAAGTGGAAAGAGGAAATGTGAAGACCTGCTCAAGGACAAATCAATTCTCAGTACTCACTTGTAATAGTCAAGATAGACATAAAGGAGGTACTGCAGACCATGTTCCAAACAATAGAGGATGAAACGAGAATGGAAATCCCAACCTTCTTTGGTCTTATAGTTTTGAACAGGGAGGGTATCTTGCATCACACCTCCAATACGGCTCAGTCTTATGAGGAAGAGTTCAAAGTCTTCTAATTCAGATGCAAGAAAAACCCCATTTCTATTGGGCAGGCAGAAGGGAAGACATCAAAAAGTTGTCAGGTTCAAAGTAGACCAACTCAATTCCACTGTTTAAGTTCTGAAAACTTAAAAATAAGTATTTATAGGGCCAGCTGGTGGCAAGGTGGTGAGAGTGCTGGACTCCCACATGGCTGACCGCAGTTTGGGTCCTGGACCTGGAGGCTTCCTTTCTCACTTTCCCTCTCTTCCTCTCTTCCACTGTCACTCTGGTCAAAATTAAAATAAATAAATAGGAAAATAAATAAAGTTAAATAAAATAATAATTCTTTAAAAAATAAGTATTTGCAAATTAAGACTGTCAATTCTTACTCTATAATTATGCTCAAAGATATATTTTGCTAGTTTCCCAGAAAAGTTTCTGTATCACTATAGAAATTAAAGGCAGCAATGATGGCCTGATACTAGCTTCAAAATAAAAAAACCCTTAAACTAAGGTTTCTTAATTTTTTTGTGTTTGATTGGAATTGTATAACCCAGTATGGCAACAATAGTTAGTTCTTGAAGCTGGATACCCTGAGTGCAGAGAAAGTCACCAAAATGTCCAAACAAAATCACTAAGAAGCTTAAGCAGAATAATACTAATCAATAATAGAACTTCACATTTAAATATTAATTTTACAAATTTACTGCTAAATACATCATATACCCTATACAAAGGAGTACAGAAAAAAATGATATGCAGAGTTTAAAGAAATACCATATAGTCACCATCCAGATTTAGAACAGTATGTCTTGGAAGCCCAGGCATAATTCCTGCCCCACTGTGTGCCCTTTGCCACTCCCAGAGGAAACCATTATTCTGACTTTGTGATAGCCATTACCTTACCTTAATTTAGAGTTGTAATACCCATGCATGTAGCTCCAAATAACATATGTGGTTCTACCTATTTTGAACTTTTTATACAAAGGGAACATTCTAGAAGTGCCTCTAACCTTAGTTCTTCTAATAAAAATCATGCAATTTATCCATGCTCATATCTATGGCTGTTAATTGTTCATTTTCACTGTTATATAGTATTCTATTGTATGATTATTTATTTACCTAATCTACTTTGTTTTTGTACTCTTTGTTTGCTATAGGGTGTGTGCTCTTGCTAGAGAGAAACAGAGAGAGAAAGTGAGAGAAACAGAGAGGCAAAGTGAGAGAGCATCCATCCCTCAGGGGGGATGGCCACATTATAATCCCTTCTCCTCTTGGGATTCTGTGCATGCACACACATGTGCCCAGTGTGTTTTTCGAGACACCCGGGTCCAGGACACAAAAAGGTGCAGTCAGCCATGTGGGATCCAGCTGCCTTACCTACCACACCACCTGCTGGCCTACCATTCTCTATTTTCGAGGGTCATTTCAGTTGTTTCTAGATTATGGACAAAATAAATGTGCATTTCTATGATCACAAATGAGGAAGAGCATCTTTACGTTCATTGGTCAGCTGTACTTCCTCTTTTGTGAAACACCCATGTGCTCAGACCCAAGTCTGCTCTGTATTCCTGGAGGATCGCTTGTAATGGGCCCCAGGTTTCTGTTTTGGCTCACCCTATGGGAGAGTCTCATCAGGAGGTTAAGAGTCAGAAAGGAGGGAGAATGGGAATACCCTAGTGCTGTCTCCTGGGGGCTGCAGGTTGGCTGACACCCTCCACCATGGGCCACAACACCTGCTCTTCCTTTGTCCTTTCGCTTTTAATAAGAATTCCCTAGTGCTGAGTCATGAAAATACTCTTCTATAGCATCTTCCAAAGCTTTATTGCTTCAGATTTGGCATTTTAAAATCTGCAAGAACTGATTTAAAATGACCACAGAAGGTCAAGGGTCAAATTCCACTTCCCTCATATTTAGTCATCCCAGTCCCATTTGCCACAAAGCAAATAAACAAAAAACCTCTACCTCCACCTGGGTTTGTTTTTTTAAAAAAGCTGAATGTTTTATTGAGATTGTACTATATCTAAAGATCAATTTGGAAAAAATTTATCTTGTTCTACATCCAGAGAGAATGCTTGTAATGTTTCACCATTAAGTATGAGGTTGTCGGGACCAGCAGATGGCATAATGGTTACGTTGCTAGACTCTCATGTAGTTGACTGTGGTTCAAGCCCCAGACCTGGCGGCTTAAAACTCACGCCGGGCATGTGTATGTGTGTGCCCAAAATCCCGAGAGGAGACTGGAGGAGAAGGGACTGTGGTGTGGCTATCCCCGTTGGATGGTGATTTCTCATTTTCTCTCTCTCTGTCACTCTCTGTCACTCTGTCAAGCACATGTGCCCTATAGCAAAAATGCCCCCCCCCAAAAAAAAGGAAAAAGAAAGTATGATGTTGTCTAGAAGAATGTTGTAGACATTTTATTTAATTTAAGGGAGTTTGCATCTATGCTTAGTGTGCTAATAATTTTTTTGAGTTTATTTATTTTATTAATGATAGAGAACACACATATACACACATAAAACAGAGAGAAAGGAAAGAAAGAGAGCATCCTTGACAAGTTCTGGTGACATCACACTCCCCTTCCTTTAGTCCTCCAGTTAAGGACCTTGGGGGCACATGTACGCAATACATCTGAGGCTGATTCAGCCAGGGATTTGAATCCACAGTTGCCTATGTAGTTTCTAGCACTGCAGTCCAGTATACTACAGACTATACCACCTAGACTGGGACACTAATAGTTATCACAAATGGAGGTTGAATTTTATCAAATACTTTTCTGTATCTAATAGGGAAGTATGATTACCCCCTTTTATTTAACGTAGATGTAGATTTCATTCATTAATCTCATAACTCATGTTAAACCATACATATATTAGTCTTTTAAGCAACCCAATGCTAAACAAAATGTTTGGTAAACATACAAGTTCCACAGTATTTTATGTTAAGTAAACAAGAACATTTAGTGTAATGGAAAGAACAATGAATAGATTCTCAAGGGTTAAAAGACTTAAGTCTGGGACCAGCAGTTAGCGTAATGGCTATGTCACTGGACTCCCATGTAGTCGACCACAGTTCAAGTCCTGGACCTGGTGGCTTAAACTCACGCTGGACACATGTACGTGCGTGCCCAAGATCCCAAGAGGAGAATGGAGGAGAAGGGATTGCGGTGTGGCCATTCCTCCTGGGGGTGATTTCTCGCTTTCTGTCTCTCTGTTTCTCTCTATTTTTCTGGTGAGCACACACACCCTATAGCAAAAACCTCTCCAAGAAAAAAAAAAAGATTCAAGTCTATAATGAATTGGCTTAGGCAAAGCCCTTAACTTCTCTAGATTGGATTCTCCATGCCTTAAGCTTAGGTAGGACAATTAGCTCTAAGTATACCCTCCCAATGCATATACCCAAGTAAGTATAAATGAAAAATAATATATACAAAATGAGTTTAAGAAACTTAAAAAAATTAACATACATATTAACTTTCCTTATACAATTTTAATAACTTGGGAAGATAAAGTAGATTGAGCCATATGAAAATGCTGATGTTCAACAATTTCTGATGTACAGAAATGGCAAACTCATATAGTTCAATCTAACAATTATTTTTAGCACTGAATTAAACTTTAAAATCTTCACTTACTGGGAACCAGCACATGGCATAATGTTTATGCCGCTGAACTCCCAAGTAGTAGACCATGGTTCACATCCTGGACCTGGTAGCTTAACACTGATGCTAGGCGCATGTGCGTGTGTGCCCAAAATCCTGTGAGGAGACTGAAGAAAGGATTGTAGTGTGGCCATCACCCCTCGGGGGTGATTTCTCACTTCCTGAAACTCTGTCTCTCTTTCTCTGGTGAGCACATATGCCCTATAGCAAAGATTTCTTTAAGGAAAAAAAAAAAATCTTCATTTATCACTGCAAAAGCTACTTCCCTCAACTATTTTATAATTCAGCAATCATCTTTAGTTCAAGGTCATGCACAGCCCATAGGTGCAGTGACAATGTGAAGAGCAGGAGACAGCTTCCGGAGTCTAAGGTATCCTCATTACAGTTCTTGACATTTGCCCTTACAGCTCTACGGACAGCATAACACTTCTACACCAAAGCATACAAACGTTTTGGGAAGAGCTTACATGTAGAATTTGAAAGCCACACGATGTTAGATGCATATGATTTAAAAATTTCAGTATAAGATAATGCCCTTTAAATTTTATAATAATACAGAACAATACTACATTATATTTATGGCATTTCTATGGAAAATTACACCGTTATTTTTTATTGCTCTTTTATTTTCCCCTCACTGGGGATTAGTTCGACAATTACAGTACCTGGCCAGTTTATCTAAAATTTCATTCCTCATGTAGTTGTTGCAGCGAGTATTCTGATCAATAACATCAACTGTCAGAGGGGGCCATTTGTTATACTGAAGTGAAACAGGACTATCCTGGCTCTGAAACTCTCCAATCCAAGAGATAATGTTTAACCAATCATGGCGAGCGGTGAGATATCTCCAGAGGGCTTCGGGAGAATATGATTTGCAGTCTACATGAAGAACAAAATGCATTTTAAACAGTAGTGAATTATTATTGACATGTAACTCAATACCGAATTAACTATTAAGTAAATATAACAATCTGCACATAAATATTTAAACAATGTATGAATTATTTAGGTATTCTGTTTCTTTTCCTATTTTCCTCTTTAGTGTCATTCATTTTATTAAAGCTTATTTACTTTAGCCATAAGCAAGAGGCAGAGAATGACAGGAAGACAGTGCCCCCAACAAGGACTTTTTAAAGATTTGCTATACCATACATGCACTCACCAGGAAGAAAAAGACGCAGAGAAAAAAAGTGAGAAATAACTCCAGTGGGGAAGGCCAGAAGACCATGTTGCAATCCCTTCTCTTTCATTCTCCTCTTGGAATTATGGGCATGCACACACATGCACCTGGAGTGTTTTTCAAGCTGCCAGATTCAAGACTCAGATCACATAGTTGGCCATGTGGGACCCAGCTGCCTTAGCCATCACATCACCAGCTGGCCTCCCGACCCGGTCTGGATGCCATGATTGATCAACAACCTTTAGCCAGTCCCAGATCATAGGTATATGTGTGCCCAGCATACTCAGGGAGGTCTCTGGACACGAACCAGCGACCTTTCCATATGGGTCAGCCTTACAGAGAGTCAAGTTGTATCACTGCACCATCACCTGGCTCTCTTGTGTTGTTCATCTTACAATCAATACTACAGACAGATGAAGAGCTTCATGTTGCTTCTCATTACAGCAGTAGTTAAATTAAACTTGGGTATCAGCTGTGTATCTCACTTGTCCATTTAACCCTCTTTTATTATCTCTTTCTTTTCGTATTTATAAATAAAAACCTCAGCTGTAATAGTAAACATGAATCTCTCGGAATTACCACTGTTTACCACCACTGTTATTATCCAAAGCCCTGATGTGATGTAGACCCCCATTTACATAAAAGCCTCCATGTCTACTTAGTAAAGCAAACAAACTGGGATTAAAACTCTGAGACTTGCAATCTCAATTCACTGAGTCATGTGACTTTTTTCTTTTACTATCACCTTATAAATCCTTCACAAAAACCTTGAGATAAAAAATGAAGTCATAATGCAATGATTTGGATTTTAAAGACACAGTATCTTCCCCCAGATGAAATTCTAAAATTGGAGACACACCAAAATATTCAAACACCAATATCTAATTTAATGTTCACTCAAAATGCTCATCTTTCAAAGTTATTGAAAACTTGCCTTCTGGACTTATCCTGGGGAGAAGGATAGACTCTTGTGTTAGTTGATCCCACCACTGGGCCCAATTTAACACAATTCCATGGTCTTGTTTGTTAAATTCATCTTTACGATCGTATTTCAGGAACGAGTCCAAAACAGCTTTGTGTTTAGAAACATCTTGTTCCTTTATCCAATACCTAAAAAAAGTGATATACATATTTTCTAATTTTGGAGAAAAAAAATCATTCCTTTGTCTGCTCAAGAACTTCTTTTTTGGATAATACATAATTCTGACTGTGCAAATCTGAAATGACAAGAAATTTCTGAGTTTCTTCTGCATGATATAAATTTTATCTTCACGCAAAATGCAGGCTCAGTTCCACATTAAGAATTACTTGTAAAACTAATCATTTTAAACTAACATCATCTATAATACTCTTTCAATATTATCAAAAGCAGATTAACAAGACTACCTGGGAAAGGACTGGATCTGCATATTTTCTTGGAAATATCCCAAATAAAACTTCTCAACTTGATGCACAAAGTCTATAGTTTTTTTTTCTTTTTCAGGAAAATAACATTTTTCTTTTAAAATTTCAACCTTGAATAAAATGTAATTAAGTTAAAGCAGTGGTCTCACAAAAATCAAGCATTTTTACAAAAAAAAGTCAAGAGATTCAATGCTATTTAAGAATATTTTTTGAGTTAACATATATTCAGACAAACTTTCCTTTCCCACAAATGTAAAATAATCATTTGAAAAGATGAAGAGGTTGTCCCACTTTTACTTATTAGACATTAGTTGAATATTAAAATTATTTATTTGAAGTTTTTCTTCCAAGGTTTTATTCCAAGACTTTCACCAAGGCTTTCTAAAAAATGTGAACTATATAGTCTCACTTTTACCTACCAAAAAGTCTCGTATATTTTTATTAGATGTATAGAAGCATATCTTGAGCAACTGGTCTTTCACATCAAAGCCCTGTAATAAACATAAAAAAACAAAAACACATTTTGCAGTGGACCTCTATGAACATAAATACAGTACACGTTAGAAACAGTCCTCTATTACTGACATATTTCCTGTTAGCAGCAGAATTCCAGAGTTTTCCAGCTCTTACAAACACTCACTTTTTCTATATTTCTTATATATATTTACTGCCTAACCATAAAATCCTTAAGCATTTCATCAGAGCAAAGGAAATACATTGAACAATGTCAGGTTACCACAGAACTAAAACTACAGCAATATGATTCACTTGAAAATAAGGGTCAACGTAAATAACAATGATTACATAGTTCCATTCCTCTGCACTCCCAGAACGTTACCACAGGCCAGACTCCAACCACACCAGATCTTATCTTAGTCCAATATCTCTATCTCTAGAACTTTCCCTTCTCAAATGAAGAAAAATTCGAAGCCCCAGTAAAGGGATAAGCACTAGAAAGTTCAAATGGAGAGATCAGAGGTTGGGTGAACAATACAGGATGTCCTCCAACAAATGCTGAGGTCCTTGCATGCTTTGACATGTGTGGAGACTTCTATGAGAAACATTGCCTCTAACTAATCAGTGCCCATTCTAACAGAGAACAGATGATGGAAACGCCATTTAAAAATCTCTTCAAGGGCTGACCTCATAGTCTTGTGGTTAAAGGAGCTGGCTCTCACATGGTTTAAGTCCTGGCCCTGGTAGCTTAAAAATTATGCCTGGGGCCAGCCGGCAGTTAAGGCAGCTGGACCCCACATGGCTGACTGCATGGTTGGAGTTCTGGATCTAGTGGATTGAAAAACATGCTGGGTGTGTGTGTGTGCCTTCCCAAAATCCCAAAAAGAGAAATAGAGAAGGGACTGCTATGTGACCTTCTTTCATAGGGAGTCGAGAGGTGCTTTCTCACTTTTCCTTTCTCTCTCTCTCTTTCTCTCTCTGTGTCTTTTTTCCAGTGAACACATATGCCCTCTGGCAAAAATTTAAACAACAAAAAACAATATGCCAGGCACATGTGACTGCATGCACAAAAGCCTGACAGGATGGAAAAATAGAGAAGGGATTGCAGCGTGACCATACCTGGTCCTTCCCTCTGGTGAGCACATGTGTCCTCTAGGAAAACAAAACAAAACGGGAGCCAAATCCCATATGGCTAACATGATTGGAATCCTGACCCTGGTAGCTTGAAAAATACTCTGAGTACATGTGCATGTGTGCCCAAAATCTTGAACAGGATGGAGAAATGAAGGAATTATTGCATGGCTGTACTCCACTGTGGAGTGTGTTCTTCCTCTGTCTGTCTCTGGACAGCACATGCGTCCTCTGGCAACTAAAACAAAGGTAAAGTCTTCGAGAGACATGGAAACAACTGAAGTGTCTATCAACAGATGAACAGATAAAGATAATGTGCTATATCAATAGATACGCAATGGACTCAGCCTCTGAAAGGAAGGAAATCCATTTGTGACAACATGGATGAACTGGAGGACATTTGCTAAGTGAAATCAGCCAGATGTAAAACACAAATACTTCATGATTTCACCTATGCAGTATACTAAAAACAAAGTTGAACTCAGAGCAATGGACAGTAAAATGGTAGTTACCAGGTCCAGGGGATAAGAGAAAGAGCGAGATTCTAGTCAAAGGCTACAAATTTTTGGTTATAAAATGAGTGAGTTCTGGAGAACTATGTACAGAATGATGACTAAGGATAATAATAATACATTGCATCCTTAAAATCTGCTAAGAGACATCTCATGTTCTTACCACATACATATACAAGTAACTTTGTGAAGTGAGTGATAAGTTAATTAGCTTGATTGTGGTAATATTTACCTTATATACATATCAAAACATCACACTGTATACCTTAGATATATATAATTTTTCTTCATCAACCATACTGCAATAAAGTTGGGAGAAAAATCTCAAGAAAGTCCTGAGTACCAAGGAACATTTCTTAGTATTATTAATGTCATTATTTCCTAGTAAAGACTATACAAATTTCTTAGTTTGTGACACAACTATGAATACAAATACCTTTTTGTAGTAACTAGAAATTGTATTATCAACAAACACAGAGAGATCTTCTCTTACATTATGCTTTAAGATCAAACAGATTACACCACTCACCATATTCTTCAAAAGTTCAGAGGCTTCCTTAATATTGTTCTTTTTCAAGTTGTCAAAGACCAAATCAAGGCCCATTCTAATCAGTTCCTCCAGTCTTTGAGCAGGATGACTGTTAATCTTGAAGAAGGTTTGTGCCTCTGGAATTTTATTGTTTAAAATGGCATTAGAAATAACTTCCTAAGAAAAAAGAAAAATGTTTGTCTTTTAATTTCCTTATTATTATAGTCAATATGGAACTTATTCTTTCTCTTTTAAGTTTTTGCTATGGGACATGTGTACTTGTTGGACAGAGAGAGAGAGAAAGTAAGAAATCACCTCCAGGGAGAAGGCCATGCTATAGTCCTTTCTCCATTCTCCTCTCAGGATTTTGGGCATGCACTCACACGTGCCCCACATGATTTTTAAGCTGCCGTGTCTGGGACTTGAACTGGAAAGTTGGCCATGTGGGATCCAGCACCTTAACCACTGTGCCACCAGCTGTCCTGTGACTTACACATTTATTAACCACCTCCCATGAGACTTTTATTGAAAATCTACTACTAGATTTAGAGCTAGGCACAGGGGATATGAAGTTGACTAAAACTCACATTGCCCTCCAAGAGTTTACAGTCCAGTGAAAGACACACAGATAAAGCACCGATTATACTACTGCATGATAAGGGCAGTGACAAAAGTATCTCAGGATGCTAAATAGGAGGGACCAGAAGAGGAGCATCTAAATAAGAGAGGTGACTACCCCCAGAAAATGGGGGAAATAAAGATCTAAACTGAAAAGATCTAACCCCAGAGAGAACAGAAAGTAAGCATCCTTAATCTGGGGCTTTCAAATAATCTGTAAATACCATTAAGCTATGAGCAAAATTATATGTATGTGCACAGGCACACAATCACGTGCATATTTTAGGAGACAGGGTCCACAGCTTTCATTAAAGTCAACTATAACCCCCAAAAAGTTAAAACTCATGACTGAGTAAAAAAAAAATCAGAGGACTATGGGTAGAGCCTTGAACACTGAAGGAGGAAAACAAGAAGAGAAACCTGTGAAGAGGACAGTAAAAAGCAGCTTAAAAAGTAGAAGGAAAAGTAATTTCTGGCTAGAGAAAGAATAAGAGATAGGGTCCAGTAAGTGGAGTGGTGGTTAAGGCGCTGGACACTCCCACATGCCCTACCATAGTTCGAGTCCTAGAACTGGTAGCTTGCTTCCTCACTTTCTCTCTATGTTTGTGTGTCTCTCTCTGGTCAATTTAAATAAATAAATGAATAAATAAAATTAAATAAATAATTCTTAAAAAAAAAAAAAAGAATAAGAGAAACAGAAAATGCAGTCACGACCAGAGCTTTTCCTGTCCTTCCACCCCAAGAAGAGCAGTCCTGAAAATCTGGAAAGCATCTCAACCTGATTTCTTTCACTCCCTATTGATTCTGCTTTAAGCTACTTTGGCTTTTTTTTCTTCCTAAATATCAACACTCTCCAGATGGATGGAAGAATTCTTTCAGTCCCTAAGTCACACACCGAGCAGCACACTTTGGTTCTATCAACTTGTACTGTGAACAGAAAGGCAGAGAGACACAGAAAATATAACTGACAAAATGTCTTTAAGATCGCATTAAGAAGGAGCCTATCTGTGTTCTAAGTTCAATAAAAGAAACTTGTAGGCATTAATTTGAAGTGGTACCCAGAGATGCCATCACCTACAAAACCTAAACCCTTGCTGAAGATTCTGAATCACAAGTGTATAGATTCTAAATTCTATTTCTTCTATTATTTTCTCGGATCCTCTAAATCTGGCAAATAAGAGAAGTGGTAATCACTCATATTTACCTCAGAACTAAGTTTCTTCCACAGGACGCTCTCCCTCACTTTGGGGACATTTTCATTTTTATCATATCCATCTATAGCATCTGTTGGCTTCCAAGGAAACTTTATCATGAAGGTTCGAAGTTCATTAATGTAGCTGGTCAGAATGTTAACTCCTTTCTGTAGATGTTCATCTAACTCTGTGAAAAATATCAATGTGTCAGTTCACATGTGTGCCTGCTGTATGTGTATATGGAGAGAGAGAAAAAGATACACGCTGAGCTATACTTAGAATATATCAAACTAATTATACTACCCCATGATTTATAAAGAATTCTACAGAGACCAGCAGCTGGCATAATGGCTATGTTGCTGGACTCCCATATAGTTGACTGCGGTTCGAGTCCAGGACGCAGTGGCTTAAACTCACACCGGGTACATATGCATGCATGCCCAAGATCCCAAGAGGAGAATGGAGGAGAAGGGATTGCGCATGCCCATCCCCCCCCGGGGGGTGATTTCTCACTTTCTGTCTCTCTGTCTCTCTCTCTTTCTGGTGAGCATACGTACCCTATAGCTAAAACCTCAAAATAAATAAATAAATAAATAAATAAATAAATAAAAAGAATCCTATAGAGGTCCAGACTCAGCAGCACAGGTGGTAGCACACTGATCTACAGTGCTAGAAACCAAATGACTGACCACAGGCTCAGGTGTTCAAGCAAGTTGACACCACTGGCTGTACATGCCCAAGACCGACTAGCTCAAGAGTTGGAAAAGAGGATCATAGTGTGATAAAATCCTGTCAAAGGTGCTTCTCTCTCATGTACCTCTCTCACTCACATGTGCTAAAGAAAGAAATTTTAAAAAGGGACTATAGAAAATGCCAAAATTTGGGACCAATACATGGCACAATGGTTACATTGCTAGACTCCCATGTAGTCGACCACAGTTCAAGTCCCAGACCAGGTGGCTTAAAATTCACACTAGGCACATGTGTATTTGTGCCCAAAATCCCAAGAGGAGGCTGGAGGAGAAGGGACTGCATTGCAGTGTGGCCGTTCCCCCCCCTCCTCCACAAGGGATGATTTCTCGCTTTCTGTCTCTCTTTCTGGTAAGCGCATGCACCCCATAGCTAAAATCTCTTTAAAAAAAAAAAGAAAAGAAATGAAAAATAATGCCAAAATTCAAATTCACTATTTTCAAATTTCCAAGAACATGTTTGAGGCTTTTTCTACTTATACATAGTTCCGTGCTTCTTTAAATTCATTTCTTCCAAGAAAGAGAGATAGAGAGAGGGAGACAAGTACCCACACAGAGTCATCATGCCTTGTTCCACCCCCAGCTTCAGATCATGGCCATCTGCTCACCTGACATGTTCAGACATGGACTCAGAACCTTGTATGTGGATCAGCCTTGCAGAACATGGCATAATTCCTGCATCACTATCTGGCCCTAGCTTTGTATATTAATATAAACCTTTTCGGGACCAGCAGGTAGACTGGTGCTTCAGTGAGGAACTCCCACATAGCTAGTCATGGTTTGAGCCCTGGACCTGGAGGCCTGCTTTCTCACTTTCTCTCTCTCAATCTGTCTCTCTCTGGTGAGTGCATGTGCCCTATAGCAAATAAAAAATCATCATCATCATAAATAAAATTAAGTAATTCTAAATATACACATATATACACATATAGATACACACACACACGAACAAAACCTTTTCACATTCTTCACAATGATTAGTCCTGAGTCTTTCTGTCAACTTCTCCAGTACTGATACCCATTTTACTCACTCAATGATACACGACTCTACTCAGAATCAGCAAATGGCAAGCCACGACCTTTCTCTTTCATGCACCACTTGCATGTCAGTCCTGACATAGGAATAGTACAACTGGCCCCTCCTTGCTGTTATTCTTACCTTCAGTGTGAATAAAAAGCTCCTTTATCTGTTTGTTAAGGAAAGACAGTGTAAGATTTAGCAATTGTTCAGAAAAGTGTTTGCTTTGGGTTTCAGAATCACTTTCTCTAATTGCTGAGCAAAGTAAATCCAATGCTGGTGTCAGTTCTTCCACATCTGAGAAAGAGCCAAAGAAATTAATATGAAGAGTACCAGGATATTCCCAATAAAATGATCTAATTCCAAAACATCATATCGCAATATTTTCAAAGGTAAAACAAAGACCAACATCTTATTTTCAAAAAGTGCACAAAACTTTTATGAAGGCTTATTACCTGCAAACTGCAATGATTCTAATTATCAATGGTTTTCTATTTACTGGTGTTACTATTAACTCCGATTTTATTGACCATCTATAGCTTAGAAATCGTTCTTGGTGTTTTATAAATGCCATTTCGTTTATTCCTTTCAATAACCTAAGAGGTAGGTGATATTCCATTTTCCACAGCTGAGGAAACTGAGGTTCAGAGAGATAAGTAACTCCCCCAGGCTAATTTGGAAAATAAGCAGAATCAAAATTGGAACTTAAGTCTGTGTGATTCCAGAGCATTCTTTTTTAAATAATTATATATTTATTTATTTACTTAAATAGATTTTGATCTATTAAAACTAAAACTTTTTTTGAAATTAAAAATGCATTAAAATACCTATTAATACCTATTTAATGACTGCAGTAAGCTATATAGCCCCAGTGAGGTGCTACTTTATAGTATGTTCACTTTACTCACTGAGGTTTACGCCTAAAATCAGACATGTGTTCATAAATATGTTTATATCAACTCTAGTTGCTACTGAAAGTCTTTAATTAAGATCTTTAGTGAATCGATAAACTGTGGGGAAAAAAAAGGCATGGAAAACAACTGTACATACCAGAGACAGTGTGGGAGAAAGGGAGGGAGA